CGTGCCTCCCCCCTCCCCGTCAGTCAAGCCAAAAAAAATTTTTTCTAAAAAGAGAAAAATTGGAGTTAAAAAGAGGGAAAATGAAAAAAACGAGTGTACCCTTGAGTTCAGTGGCGATCCAGCAGTGTGGTGAAAGGAGAGCTCGATTATTTGCCACTTATTTACACCAACCATGGTGGGGCTAAGGTGGGCGTGGTGGCGAGAACTTCATATTGTGCCCCTCGTCAGAAATTCTTTGGATCTGCCCCTGTGAAAGTTTACGTAATGATTGAATGATGGTTTAAAAGCCGAAACATGCCGAATACATTCGGTTAAAATACTTCAATACCAAACTCATAGTTATATCACATAAAAATGTAAGCTTAGAAGCAATTTTTGTAGGATCATTGACTCTCATTTTATTGTATTTCATTTATTTCAATGTTTTAGTATGTTGGTAGAAAAATGAATTTTTCCAGTGAATGAACTCAACAATTTGATAAATAAGTAAAGTTATTAAATAGTTTTATTTCTCTATGTATATTTATTTGCTCTTTGTCGTCAAATTATAACAGTTAAATATATGTAGATAGATCTAAGAGAGATGTCTATAAATTAGTATAACCTACTGAGAAAAGAGCTAAAATTTTGTCTGGTAATATTATGTTTACATTTTTCTACATCTGTTTTCTACCTATTTTATTTTAATCCAAAGATAACAATTTTTATCGTTATTCGTAAATAAGTACGAGCATTGATATAATTAAGAATTTTGATTGTCATTATTATGTATACAGATAATATTTGATTTGAACATGAAGTTGAACCAGATGTTCTAACCAGGAGCTCTATGTATGCATCAGTTCAAATTAATCATAACACCACTATTTTTCAAGCTTTAATTCCATAGCTTCTATTTTGATTACATAAGTGACAGTGCATGTTCCAGTTTTCGATTTGGTAGTTATTGAATGTCGTAAATTCTGACTATATCATTGAACATTTGCAATGATACTATTTCATAATAGATAAAATGGATTGGTCTCATTTTAACAATATACGAAGGCTTGATAGTGATAAATATTTCACATAATCTATGCGGTCTGTACTTTGTGTAAATATAATATATATTCTCAAAAATTGTAAATTTTCTATAGGGTTCGACAGAGAAAGATTCGAAGCTACGTCTATGTACGGTATGTAACAGCGTGTTTTTTTTACTGGATCCGAACTAGTTATTATAGGTTTAGTGATAAATTTAAGATAACTAAGTATAAAAATAAATTAAATAATGACAGACACGTCATTGTAATTGAATATTTTTATCTTTATTTATAGGCCTACAATCAGATATTGATCTAAATATTGATTGAAGGATTAAATAATTGTAAAGTAAGTAAAATATGTCAAATTGAGTATAATTATTCACCAACTGATTTTGTTTTTTCTTTTCGACGAATAAAAACTCAATAAAATGTTTTTGATTTATGCCCATTACTTTTGCACTTGACGCTAACTTCAAAATATTAAGTTTTTAAATTGTAGCGGCAAAGGGGTCATCGCCAGGCAGTAGACAAAAAACTGTAAAATCATTAGATAAACAAATTAAAATGACTAAAACGAACCTTCCAGAAGGAATATCCTCCTGGACCCCCATAATAGGTAAGGGAAACACTCCAAACTCTTCAACTCGGACAATAACTTCCATCCCTTCGAACCCGGTCCGGTTGTCAGTTGCACTATCCCGGCAAAAAAATTGCGAATCCTTCGCTGATGCTATATTTGAACAGATTTGACAGAAGAACCGGTAAAAGAGCAACGTTGGTAGGAAAGTAAGATCTAGATTCTAGATTCTGCGTTGAACATTTAGGAAAATATCGGTGTTGGGGATTACACCTTTAGCTTGAAAATGAACTTGAGTACCAGTATAAGCACCTCTCATTAGGCCTACCAAGCAACAAAAACGTCATCATAACGGTCGCCAACGCTATGAGAAAATAACGTTGCCACGACTTTGCAGCAACGTTTTAATACGTATTTCTCAAAATAAACATCAAAATGGTGGGGCGGAAGTGGTCTAGACCCCATCTGTCTAAATATCTCCCTGGGTCCCCTCTATTTTGAATTCCTGGATCCGTCACTGTGGATAGTACCTTCACTTACAGACAAACCTACAGACATTTATTATTTTAATCATAATAGTAAGCTTCCCAACACGATAGCGTGTATTTCAATACTTGGAGTATGTATTATACTTTCTAATAGTAAGCTTGTTATGGGTTTGTATACACAGCAATTTCACTAAAATACAACATACACTAACAATAGATGAACATTTGATTTATTTAAAGACAATTTGTATTGTCTATATTTACGAATAAAACGGCGGGCGCATACACAATTTTATATCGGGCAGCATATGAGTAATTGCTATGAAGACACAAATTTTACATTGCAATTTTTGATTGTCTTGAATTTTTATATTGTCAAACTTGCAGACTGAAGGCTTAGGTTTTTCAGTTTGGACTTAATTCGAAACACTCATCGAATACATTCCACCTTTAATATTTATGGGAAAAGAAAAGTACTTTCGATTTTTCTCTGAAGAAAGAAAATATCAGTCTGCCGCCCTCTATTCTATTCGCTTGACATCTGAAGAAAGAAAATATTAGTCTGCCGCCCGCTTTAGTAGACTTTAATTACCAACTTAAAATTAAAGCCCTGGGAAAATCCTTCACTTATATAACAAACAAACAACTCATTACAATATCACTCTTTCATTCTAATTCTTATATACATGACTTACCACATTATTCAGCTTTAATATACATGACTTACCTTATAGCATTTGTACCTTACTGCCTACTCCTTATTGCAATATAATAAAAAAAAAAAAAAAATATATATATATATATATATATATAATATATATATATATATATATATAATTTGACCAGTGTTCGGCTTGAACCAGGGCCATGGCTCAGCGGCGGGTTGTACGCATGTGTACTGAGCCATTTAATAGTTATTTTTAATGGAAGGCATTGGAAATCTTTTTGCGTTAGAAATGATATTAAAATATGTTTTACAGTAGTTGACGTATTGTACTGCCTGCTGCTCAGTACGTTGCAAATTACTGGGTGGAAAAATAAAATTTGACTTATATTCGTCTCGATTCAGGGTCATAGATCAGCAGCGGGTTGTGCGCATACGTACTGGCTATTTCACAGAGATTTTTTAAAGTCGAAAAACTTAAAAAGCAGGTACGCTCAAATAAACATAAAATGTAATCAAAACAGTAAAAATACTAAACACAATATATATATATATATATATATATATATATATACCTTGACAAAGGTTGATAAGAGCAATGATACACCAGATGAATTCTTTGAAGTAACTGTTGATGATGTAAGGAAAAGGCTCGCTGACTTGAAACACCAAAGGTAAGAACCTACATAGTATCATTCTGTTATCTTGTATTTCTTACATGTACAAACAAAACTATGTAACAGAATAGATGTGTATAAGAGACAGACATCCCCTCCCTCATCCTTTATGAAAAATACCAATATTGCATAGGCCTGTCGCCAAGTAATCTGGGCCTAGGCCTATATACAACTTGTGTGATAGCCTGGCAGTTTTGTTAAGAATGCAAAAATACCTAAATAGACCTAGTCCTCGTACTTCTCTTTCAAAAGTTACAGTTTTTGGATTTTTATACTCAGTCAGATAACTATTTTTATCTTGTTATTTGTTATTCTTTATTCCTAGATATATATTGAATATTTTGTGTTCTTTGCAGACATCAAAGGAAGATTCTTGATCCGAAATTGTCAATGAGATTTAGTAATATTCCAAACAATGCAAAGTTAGAGCTTGTTAAGGCAGACAAATTGAGGACAGAGTCGTCAACGCATATAGCCCTACAACTGCCTGAAGGGCAAAGGTTACAGCATGCATTCTCACCGAGTTCAAGTTTGTGGGACATCATTGAGCATTGGCAACAAACTCTTCAGAGGTTTCCATGTTATTTATTGCATTACTTATATAATGTATTTTGGACTGTGTAATTTATTTTTTCCTTTGGTTTTGGAAATTCTTTTATGCAGTACTTCAATAATTGCTTTTGATGGAGGCAGTTGGTGCAGTGTTGCTGCTCAGGCTTTCAACCTTGTGGCTGGGAGTCCAAGCCTTGTGAAGTCCACATCTGGCCAGGCTTATATACCTCAGCTTGTATTGTGGACAGGCTGTAAAAAATGGATCATGCTATGCTTCATCCATAAATGCAAGTTGACTACAGACCCTGGCTTTGTTTTGGGCTTACAGGATCTTTGAAGAGTTAAACATTTGCCCTGCATCATCTAATAAAAAAAAAAGATTACAAAAACTTGATTTTATGATGTACTACTGTACTTTTTTTTCTTTTTTCCAGAAAGCTTCTTGCTGATTATTCTGAAGATGGTCAACCTATGGAACCAAATCTTGTATACTTGACACACAATGTATGTACAGTAATCACTAAGAAACCATCACAATTTTCATCATTTCTATGAGAGGTGTATGTGAGTAACACCAGGCATGTATGCAGGGCTCCTTAAGGACTTTATCTGAATGTTATAATCAACTAAAGTTGATGACTGGCATCATAGTGTAGACAGAGTATGTGGCTAAATTATTAATCAAGCTTGTTGCTGATATATTTAGAATTAGTTATGCTTGACTGGTTTTTAAGCTGAATGTTATGTATTTCTGTATATGATAGATCTCTGGAGAAACTAAGTTGAAAGAAACCAAGTTAAGGTCAATTGGATTGACAGGCGGTAAAGCTGTCATTCGTTTGTCTGGACGTGTCATTCCTGCTGACCAACAGTTAACTACAGCGGAAAGTCCAGAAAAGAAGAAGCCGAAGCTTGAAACTTGTAGCTCAGAGTCATACATGAAAAAAATGGACATAGTTGAAGGAACTGAAAATCCATCTCATTCTACAGACTTCCATCAGGAAGAAATGTGTGATGGTGAACCTGAAGAACATTCAAAGGCAGTCAGTGCTGACACATTCACTGATTTTAATGTGGAACAGAATCATCTTAGACCAGAGCAACAGAAAGACACTGATGCAAATATTGAAATCTCAGAGACTGTAAAAACAACAACCTCTCCAGAGGTCGATAATAGAAGCAAAGAATCAAAGGGTAGTGGGGCACCTGTAAAAGAATCCCAGCAGAGGCCTGATGTTGATGTCAGGATGGAGACAACGGTCGAGACACCTGTTAGTGAACCTCAAGAGAACCTTGGGCCTGATGTTAGGAGAAAAGAGACAAAAAGTAAAGAGGCACCTGTTAGAGAACCTCTACAAAATCCTAGATTACATGAAAGTCCGTTTGCAGATTTCAAGGTATTTGAATTTCAATAATTAAAGCACTAAAAATAATTCCATTGATATAAGCCTCTTTTTGAGTTGGGATTAGAGTGTTTGTCATTCAAAATGTGGAGATCTGTATAATGCTCTGTTCCTGATGGAGTTCCTGATGGAGCCCCTGGATTATTTGTGATTAAATGAAAAATATAATGAATATTTTTGGCATGCCTTAATCTTTTTTTGCAATGTATTTCAGTTCCCAGAATGTGTCACAGATGTCGAAAGCAATTCTGAGATGAACATTGATGAAAGCAGTGAGCCACAGGTCTGTATTGCAAAATTATCACAATCAAGCGAACTTTATTGTCATCCATTAAACAAGTGAACAATGAAACTTGTTTTGCCTGTTGCTTAAAGTGCAATAAAATATGACATAGAAGTGTACAAAAAATATTAATATATTAAATCTAATCTAATATCTTAAAATCTGACCAATGTTTTTTTTTCTCACAAAATGCAACCACTTCTAGTCAGGGTTGAATAAATAAATGAAATGAAAGATGTGATGTCATCATAAAGACGTGATGTCATGATAACCATATTTAGGCATGTCACATGCTTTTTTCAAATGAAGTTTGATAGTCTATTTAGGGCTTTATGTAGTGCTTGATGCCATCTAGGCTTCTAAGCTCTTCACACTATTTTCCTGGTCTTTGGAGTCTTGTGATGTAGAAGTGCGTGGCACAGTGTGTAAGGCGTGGACTTTCAACTGGAAGGTCTGGGGTTCAAGACCGATGCTAGTCACACTGCTTGTGTCCTTGGGCAAGACTTTAAATGCATATGGCTCTCTTCACTCAGGAGTAGAAATTGGTACCTGGTAGGAGGTGAATGGTTTGGAATGAAATTAGTAGTGCTGATTACACGCATAACTAGGAATACTCCCCAGGGAGTGGAGGAGGTTGCACGTTGTGTTTGATTGATTCTGTATCTAATGACCAGCGAAAAATGCGTCTTGACCAGTTTTCTGGATACTGTATGTGCTCTATATAAAGTCCTATAAAATAATAAATAATAATAACAAATGACAATATATAACTATGGTGTATCACATTTTCACAGGTATGTGATCGTGAGGCTGTGGTGTTTGATTTATCTGGCGACAATGTACCAGAAATGAGCAATGATACACCAGATGAATTCTTTGAAGTAACTGTTGATGATGTAAGGAAAAGGCTCGCTGACTTGAAACACCAAAGGTAAGAACCTACATAGTATCATTCTGTTATCTTGTATTTCTTACATGTACAAACAAAACTATGTAACAGAATCATTTATTATAATTATTATAATAATTAATCATCAAGCAGTAACTCTATTTCACAATTCCACTCTTTCCAATGTATGACATGCCCATATATGGGTATGATGATGTTGTATTACACCAAAATATGGGCATGTCACATAATATTTGATAATGTGGACGCAGCTGAAGTTGCTAAAATGATGATAATTATGATATTGAATGTCATTCATGTTAAGCCAAAAGTAAGTGGTCCATGGTATCATCAAAATTTCCAACGTAGACTTTAATGTCACTCTTGCCCATACTGTAATTGTTAGAATTAAATCATGTAACTGTCTTGGACACCACATGTTGAATTTGTCAAAAAAACAGTTTCAAACTGGGTATGTTAAGTAGAATAGGTAATTGTTTGTGTCCCCCAAAGAAGCCTAAACACTCTGTTCGTAAGCTTAGTTAGGCCATCTTTGGACTATTGCTGCACTGTATGGGGAGGATGTTACATATCCCACAATAACTTACTTAACAAGTGTATAAAAAGAGCAGCTAGGATAGTTTTAAAATGTGATTTTCTTACCCCATCTGCAGATATGTTTGCACAACTCAGTTGGCTTTCGTTTTCTGAAAGGGTTACGTATAGAAAAGCTATACTTGTTTATAAATCTATTAACTGATTGACACCTTTATACATGACAAACCTTTTCACACCGTTATTGCAAGCTCCTGAAACGAGAAAGTCAACTGTTATGAAGTTGAAGGTTCCTTTTTCGAAAAGCGAAAGTTATTCCACGAGTTTTAAGGTGACAGGGGCGAATATATTTAATGTCTTAGATAATTGATTTCAGAACTGCGACTTCTCTATACATATTTAAATACAAATTGTACGAGGCACTAATTAAGAAAATATAACCGGTTACGACCGTGTGCTTTAAATGCAGGGCCCCAATGGAAATCAGTGTTTTAACTGTTTGGGCTACCCTGGTTAAATAAATATATAAATAAATAAATAAGTAAATCACCAGTAGCTTTCAACATGAATGAAATTTGGTAATAATACACTTGAAGCTAAATGAAGGTATTTCATCATGATGATAATTGTTTTGAAAATCAGTGAAATTACTTGATGATAATAATATTCATAGGTGGTTATTTCTAGAAACCTTTTAATGAGAGTTGTTTTGATTAAATCATTTCTGTAGTGCCAGTGATGCACCCCTGCAAACAAGTAAAATGAGAGAAAACAAGGAAAGGCAGAAAATGTTGCGTTACAAAAAAATTGTTGTTCGTATTGTCTTCCCTGACAAGACTGTCCTACAGGGATTCTTTAGACCACAAGAAACAGGTAATTAATTATAAATATTAAGCAGACCCAAATTTATTGTCTTTATTATTGTTTGTGAGATATAAGGGCTCATAATATACACTGTAGTAGACTTAGTTTTTCTTTTTGTTTCAAGACATAAATATATTTTTTTGTTTTGTCTCGGTTGACACCTTAAGGTCAATGTGTGCCCAGGATATGGTACAAACACATAATAATAATGATGATGAGGATGGCGGCAGCGGCAACAATGACACCAATAATAATAAAACTGTATTTACATAGAGCCTACTGAATCACAGATCTGTCTAGGCCATGTACATGTCTTAAACTACGGTGGAAAACTATACCCCATCAGACACTATCCCAGTATTTCTGGGAAATACATATATACTTACATAAAACAAGCAAGCATACACACAAGTTGCCTAATATAAACTAAGTTTAATGTTTTGTTCATGAGGAAAAAAAGAGTGTATATAAAAAAAGGTCATGCACCACAGTACTCATATCTCTTTTCTTGGCTGTTGGCATCTGGTAGAAGTTTTCAAAACCTGTCTTAGCATGGTTGGTGCAGGATTTGGTTTCTTTAGTGTGAAATATTCCAAGGACAGCCCACAAAATCCCTTAAACTTACAGTATTTACAGTGGGGGCTCTGGTTTACTATTTGGTTTATTGGTTTTTAATGTGAATCTCGGACTGTGAGTAACAATTATTTAATCAATCAGTAAATTAATCATCATCTTTATTGTCATTTGTTTTGAGAGAATACTGTTTTCAGGCAGAATTTACAAAAATAAGTAAAAATGTGCACTGTCATTATTTGGTGATTTTTATTGTTTCATGATTTGTAGTGCAAGCCCTATTTGAGTTTGTGCAGACATCTTTAGAAGAGAAATCACTAGAGTTTTATCTTTGTAAGTACAGTATTCAATTTTGTATGTTTTGTTTTGAAGTTTTTGCTTTTTGCTTTTTAAAAAAAATATTACTCACACCAACCCTGATAAATATTCAAATAATTAGAGAAACATTATTATTTATAGTTTTAATGAAAATAATGCAGTTTGTCTTATTCCTCAGATACTTCACCACCAAAAACAATTTTGAAGAATAGGACAGAAACATTTTTTGAGGTAAAACAATTAATTTGATGATTTCACTGTAAATGAGGTTAATGTCGGCAGTATTTGTGATATTCAATCCTCATACTGGCTACTATGATACTACAGTAGCCATCTTTGTTATGCTTTCTTCTGATATTAAACCAATCTTTTTTACTACAAATCTTAATGCCTTGAACTCATGTTAACATTCTTAATGCTTTGTACTTAGGTTGACTACTCTTACTACTGATCTTTACAACTGAACACTATCATTATATTACTGTACAGTAATATTATTGTTATGTTATACTTAGTTTGTGTTCTTTTAAGAGATATACTGCTTTGAAAGAAAATTATGGAAAATGTTTACATTGAAACTGTTTTGGTTTTAGGCCACCTTGTTTCCTGCTGCGAAGGTTTATTTTGGATGCAAGGACAAAAGAAGTAAGTGAATTTATTTCACTTAAATCAATTCTTTTTCTTCGAAGTACAATGAATAAGTTTATTATTTTTTTTTATCTGAGACCAGCGTTATCAGCATCATTACAGTTGTTTTACTCACCCATCACAGCAAACCAACAGATATTAAATATAATTTCATTTCCTATGACATGCATTATGACAATTAATGATTGAATGTTAACACTAGATGGCATTTGTATATGCAGGTACTTGGCTGTCTCCATCGCTTCTTGGCTCAATAACACCAGTGGCAGTTGTTAACAAATCTTTGAAAAGGTACAGTAGACATTGGTACACACTGTAACCAAGGAAATAACTATTTGGGATTGAAATAGGACATTCAAAAGAGCACATTGTTACCAGGGGAATAATTTGTTTAAATTTTGAAAGAAGACACTAAAAGTTGTACTTAGTAACCAAGGAAACAGCAATAGCAAATATGTCACTGTCCTACTTGTAGGTGACAATACCTTTCACAAGACAAACATACACACAGGATGCTTTACACAAACTAAATCTCAATATGAGGTTTATGGAGTTGTTCAAAATCCTGCAACACTGACAGTAATTGAACCCATGACCCTGTGATTGGAAGGCAAGCATCTTAAACTCCAAGCTATTCAACTCCACTCCATAGAATAATAGATTATTATTGCATTGATATTAATATTCTGCTACTTTGATGTCTTAGCATTAGTGAGACAGGCTTCATAGAAACTGCCAACAAACCAAGCACCTCTGAAGGGCAGAGCCTTGAAAGACAAGAAGCTTCTACCGTGGCAGCAAGTAAGCGACCATCACCTAGTGCAACTACTAACTCTCAGAAGATACCAAAATGGTTCAAACTTGGTAGGTGTTCAGGGGCGGATCCAGAAATGTCCAAAAAGGAGTCTGGGACATGCCCCTGCAAAATGTTTGTGTTCTAAACACCCGAAAATAACCTCAGAGGCATTTTGGGAGATCAATATTTTCGTTTTCTTTCTTTCATTCTTTTTTTTTTCTTTTTTTACATTCCAAATACGGGGGTGGGGCCTGCCTGCCCCCCCCCCTTAATCTGCCCCTGGGTGTTCTACAGTCTCCAGTCATTCATTATTTCTATAGTATACAAATGTTATAATAATAGTATTGCTTTTGTACATTGGTATAAAAACATGAACTTAAATTAACAAATTTCTTTGCAGGCAAGCAATAAAGTAGAGCAATAACATGATACAGATGACATCCTGTTGTGAGTGCATTGCTTAGAATCTCTCATCTGAACTTAACATGATACCGATGACATCCTGGTGCATTGCTTAGAATCTCTCACCTGAACTTAACATGGTATCGATGACATCCTGACATTAGTCATTCAAAGCTCCTATCATTAATACATACAATAAAATAGTTGTCACATTTAAACATATAAACCCGGGCACTCAATGCTTCTCACGACGAGTCCAACTCCGTCGGTTTTCGGTCTGAACGGATTGTCATTAAAAATGATCCGCTTCACCGCATTGTGTTCTTCATAGAATCGTGTCGATCGACGACCGTCGTGCGCAGTGAGTGACCGGCTTAAGGATAAGGATACTATAATATACTTATCTACATAATAAATTACAGAGCATATTTAAATTAAATAATAACAGCATTTAACATGTGGATTAGGAGATCTAAAAATCATGATGTTCAAGAGTCCAGATCTTAATTAGTGGTATTTGGAATTGATTGAGTGATTGACATTTTTGATAATCAAATCCACTTTATTAATAACTACTTGTAGTTTGTGCGAATGACCTTTTGTCATACCACTAAACCGAACTAATGAAACGTATAAAATTACACTTTGCATGACCAATGAATAGTATAGTTAAGAAATTGTTACATTTACATGAAATTGATATTTTCGCATACAATGTCATCTGTTCTTATCTTTTCTTAAGATTGATTTACATTGTTTATCCCATTTCATTTTTTTTTCCTGTGGTAATCCATAAATATTTACATTTGTAACCATTTCAACATGGATCAGATCGGACATGTTGCACTATTATCAAATACTTGTACTGTATAAACTATATTTAGTTGACCTTAACAGTAGATTCTAGCTGACCACTTTACAAACCAAAACGCATGGAGCAAGTTATAGCCATGAATTCTAGGAAGCCTAGATGCAGGAGTTCCACCAGTGGGTTTGCCAGCTGGGCCCTGGCCTAGCCGTCAGGGACGCTTGGCCGAGCCGTGGTACAATCTGCTGGGAAAAAATTAATTAGAAATATTTTCTAAGCCAGCATGCATGACAGTGCCATTTTCTGGCATGTAAATGTGATATAACCTTACTGTTTATTGTTGTTGCATCAGCCCCAAATATAGTGAGGCTGATGTGTGCCTGGCCCATCTCTGAAAAATGTTGGCACCACCCTTGCTTGGACGTATTGTTAAAAAAAATAGTCAAAATTGACATTATTCTGATTTACGATTGTCACTGGGACGAAGCACAGTGACAAGTTGTCACTAGACCTGCGTAACAATTGCTATATTTGTTTTTGGCTGGCTTGTTTACAGTATAATTATGAGGTTTAGTAAATGCTGTGAAAAAGTTCTTGGCATGGCATTACTTGTATATAAGTATTAAGTTTAGGCTAGGTGCTATACAAATATTTTACAAATTATATAAATGCAAATAATATCCAATAATAGTTCAAATTTAACAGAGGAAGTTTGAGTAAACTGTTGGATTTAATTGGAAAAACCTTATTAATATAACCTACGCCCTATTACTTTAAATTGGAAATAAGACGTTTTGTTTATTGAACAAATAAAACGAAATATGTGAAATAAATATTCTGAGGTGTGTTTGTATTTCTTTGATGTGTATATGTAAAATATCCTACACGAAATCCATATGCAAAACGCATATTGTTTTACTGTTTTCGATTTGCGTGGCGACGCGACCACACTACAACAGATTCACTCATGCGTGACGACCGGAGAATCCATGCAGATAACTTTTAGTGTCGTCATTACGTTCTGCGTCCCACTGCGTCGTGCAATGGACCTCTCCGCTAAGAAACGCCCTTTGGATATTGTTGCTAAGGTCCCCCAAAAGGGAGTGTAAAAATATACGCAAACACGTGCGCCACGCTCGTATTCCTGGCCCTGTTTTGATTGGTCAGTTGTTAAGTTTGATTGACACTCCGGAAAGGTCTATTGAAAGCTGCATATGCACACTTCAAGTACGTCGGTTGCTGATGAGGACCTGGCAGAGGTAACATCTCTGACGTGAAAGTCAGGCTCCGGAGGAAAAAAATGTTTTGATATGTTGTAGAACTGATTTTTCTAAGACAGAAAAAAGTTGTTTGACGAAAAACTGGGGAACGGTGAATGAGATACAGATTTTTGAATATTTATAAACTGGGGGAATAAGGTGTAAAAATGGGCAGTTACGCCCCTTTTTCCCCCAGTTTTTAAATATTTAAAAATCTGTATCTCATTCACCGTTCCCCAGTTTCTCGTCAAACAGCTTTTTTCTGTCTTGGAAAAATCAGTTCTACAACATATCAAAAATTTTTTTTCCTCCGGAGCCTGACTTGAAGATGAAGGATATGATCGAAAAATATAGACCGTAGCCAGGATTGCCATTGGAGGAGGGTGTGTAAAAATGGACTAACTTGGATGGTGGTTGCATAGTTGGATCGCAGCTTTGGTGTTGTAGGGGTTACTATTAGATTAATGATTAAAATGTAAAGATTTAAGATTCCCTTTGAAGTTTTATTAGTAACAGATTTAAATATTCAATACATTTTCGACTGTACAGACATAAAATTCAAGGAAGAACAAGAACAAAGAAGATGAGAAAAACGAGAATAAAATGTAATTATTAAAGATAATTACAAATGTAATTATTAAAGATAATTACAATTAAAACAAGATGTTTCTTAACAAATTTACAATAGCGAAAATCTCGATAAAGTCTCGTTAAAATTGTTAAAATTGTTTTTGATTTTTTTCAGTCCAGTTTTTAAGAATTGCCCCATCTGGGATGAATATATAGATACAAAAAATTGTTATCACTCATCAACCTTTCTGCAAAAATTCTTTATATGAAATAAACCAAAATATAATGTGAACTTTATTTTTCATGTTTATTAATAAAAAAATAATCTTATCAATATTATAATTTTTGTAGTCTTGTATCTCTCAACCAACAACAGTTGTTTTCAGAACTACCTACGTGGTGTACCGCAAGCAATAATACCCTATACATTATTACATCGCCATTCAAACAATAACTTGTAGTCTTAATATGTTTAAAATAAATGATATAATAAATAAATATTTGTAATTATGTTTAGCTGAATAATAGAGAAAATAACCAGTAATATTGTTGTAAAGAATATAGGTATTATAGACCCTATACAATTTTGGGGATTAAAATCGGTCCTTTTACTTTGCTGAATTACGGTACATGCTAGCTTGTCAGGTGATGACAAATATCGCAACTTAATTGAGTTCAATTCTCTGAAATGAAGATATATTAGGCCTTGCTTCTTATCGTAATGTCTGTGTTTACTTTAATATATCCAATAGCTTGAAAATCCATATAAACTGGGGCGAATGTTGGTGGGAATGGGGCCCGGGGGTGGGGGAAGGTGTGATCGTACCCCCTAATGTATTAAGAAAAATGATTGTTGTATTGTATTGTCGATATATTATTTTTACCATAGAATAGTATCAGTAAGATTTTAAAAGTAGGCCCTAATGCAGAGTGCAATTTCCGGGAACCTTGAGGTCCTAAGATGCTGTGGATTCTCACGCACCCCCTACCACCAAATCCTGCATCCGCCCCAGTTAAACCAAAAGTGAAGCAATTGCTACATCAATAATAGCTGCCTATTGAACTCGCAATGAAATCCACGTAATAATTTAGGCCTATGATACAAATTGCGGAATTATAAACGTCCCCTCAAAACCCTTCTCGTAAACGACCTAGGTGGGGAGCTTTTTTTTTTTCTTCTAATAAATACGGATATGAAAAAAATGTTGCTGCGTAACACAGATAAATATATAATATTATGGCATAAATAGCAATTATTGTCGTTGGCATTGCGCAATCAATAGTAAGTCGAAACCAGTCAATACGAGCGTATGCCACTTCGAGCGAATGCTAGTTCGAGTGGATGCCACTTCGAGCGGATGTGCTGCCATTTCGAGCGAAAAAAAGGATCCAGTCTTGCGAATATTAACTTGTGCGAATTTATTAATATTTTGCGAAAATATTATTAATAATAATAATAATAATAGTATTTATTTATATAGCATATTTTCAGATTTCTGTTCCATGCGCTTTACATAAAAAGGTGATACAATGGCCTAGGCAACACATTATACAATGAAATTACTAAAATATATTGTTAGCAGCGGCCGTTTGGGTGCTCGAATTTGCCAAGACTTCTGTATGGAAACAAATATTTATTTATTATTTTCAAAAACATTTACACAATACATTTTGGAATAATGCAAAAACAATATAGGCCTATTCGTTTTGAAAAAATTCGCCCTTTTGTTATAGTTTGTCCTAAGTATCCGCCGCTCGAACTGGGCAGGCATCCGCTCGAATAAGCATTCGCTCGAAATCCGTTCAAGGAGGATATGACGTCATTTAATATATGGTGGCGCTCAACAGTATGCACACGAGGTTCATGTGTAAGGTAGGGTTAGTGGGCTGGAATCATCCGAAGTCTATTGTTAATTTTATCACATTTTATATTATATTTCTTAAAAACGGTTGAATAAACAGTATTTGCATACATCTGATCAGGGTAAGAAGTGCTTGTATCAAGCACAAATATGGATCAACCGACTGAACAAACAGCTGTTCTAGACAGCTGGGACCAGGACGAAGATCAACTCCCGAACCCAGCAAGCTCAACATCGGAAGTAAGTGGCCTAAACACGGAGCCGGAGAGCCTACCGAATATTTCAGAGCTTAACGTCAACGCTCCGACTTTTGTGCCAAATGTACATGCACCAGCTTTTGTACCTAGTTTTGCTGTTGAACCTAGTGGTACTCCTGTGAATGACACAGATATAGGCCTATCAGAAACTAAAGACGGTTAGTAAAATAATTTAGTATTTTCTCTGTAAGGCCTAGCCTAGGCCCGTTGGCCTAAATAATTATTGAAGTTCGCAGCAGTAGGCCCAGTTGCATTATTTTTTTCCCACACAGTTAAGGCAGAAAATATAGAGGGCGCTATTTTAGATCAGTTAGGCGAACTGATATACATATATATATGCATACCTGACCTCCCCCTTGCGAAACAGAGTTCAGTGGTGTATCAAGTAAGCTGCAGGGCTTATCTGAACGAATGCTACAGCGTAGGCCAAAATCTCTTAAGTACTGTAGGCCTTGGTAGTCAAGACAGTGTAAAAATTAATGGATTATAATTGTAATAATATCCCGATGACTAGGCACAGTTTATGTACAACATGGTCTTTAAATTATTAAAAATAGCACAGTTTAATAATATTGAATCTGGCTATTTGAGTACATAGTTATAGGATTAGATATAATGACAGCGTTTTCAATTGCTCAGTTGTTCAAATTCAATTTTCACTGTGACGACTACACTAAGACACTCAACCGACTACCAGAGATTTTGGCCTACAATTGCTACAAAGTTTGCAGCAATTTTTCAAGTTACTAGTACTTTGGACATTTGGACGCAGTTGTTAACTTACAATTTATAATTAATAAACATTTTTATATGATGAAGCTTATAAGTATCCTTTTAAAGGAAGAAATTGACAATCCCGCACTGTATTTAGTTGTGAAAGGAAGGGAGTTCCAATAGTTAGTTCCAGAACACCCAATAAAATTTCTACCATAGTTCTGAGTAGCTTTATAGGGGTAGATGTTGTATAAACCTTTTCCGGCCCTAGAGGTGATAGAGGTTCTTTACTCCTTGACAATTTTCTAAAAACGATAAACAATAATGCACGCCCTTAGTTTGTGGTGACAAAAAGATTAACCAACGTAACTGACATTTTTGTCGATTTTGAGATATCATTTGGGAGTATATTAAACACGTCTGAATTACCTGTGAAACTTTTGTGGTTTTGCTGGTATTGTAAATGTAGCATTGACTTAAGCCTTATGTTGCTAGATTGGCTGTTACTGTTTATATCGCACAGATTTTGCAGCAAATATTGCTAGGGCTTGTACAACAGCTTTAGCGAGAACAGGTTACTTGTACTGTAAAATGGCACAGCATTAGTTTTAGCATTTTTGATCACTTGATCAATTTATTTGATTTCAATATATCATTTCCAGAGCCTGAGAAAGATGCAGAAGAAGAGGTACCTGCCCCTGCTGCAATCCAAGTTGCAAAGAAGAAGATAGCAAAAGTAGAAATAGAAGATGTTAAGAAGGAGAATGTAAATGTAGTATTTATCGGCCATGTTGGTGAGTACAAAGCCATATTCAACGGTATATTCATTTTTATATACCTCATACATAGATTCTAAGCATCTGATTGGTTAAGAAGCGGGCAATAGAAAGTACTATTCGCCTGAAAAATAGTACTTTTTTGCCCTGTCATGTGATGTGCAAACTCCAGGCCTTGACAGTAAAAGGGGACTGCGACCTCTACTATGAAAGAGATTGGCCCTTGAACGCGCCACGGAACAGCGAGTAGGCGATAAACAAATAATGGAGTCTGGTCGATTCAAGCTCTGGTTGAAGAAGGACTAGCCTATTCCTAGCATTACTTTTGATGAAGCCGATAGCAAAAGCACCAAAAAAAAATTAAATATGTTAATATTCAACAATATTAAAAAATGATGGGTGCTGTTGAAATTGAGGAAATGAGCAAAGAAAAGCTAGACACACTCTTTGATTGCCTAGCCCTTATAGAGTAGGCCTCTCTAGGCTAGGCTGGGAAGTACAGTAAGTACTTCTTTAGGCCTTGTAGAATCTATGTATGAGGTTTATATAAAACAAATATTAAATACTCCATATTCGGGGAACAGTGAAATCTATTACAGCCTATTTTCCCTCGCGCCTTCGAACCTTGGATAGATAAGCTCTCTAAATCTCCTCAGGGCAATAGATTTCGCCATTCTCATCATGAGCAGTCAATATTTGTGCAATATCATGTACTGTACAGTACTGCAGTCCTTCTGATATAAGCAGGGTTCTCACCAGCCATTCAACAGTTGTAGGCCTCTAGCAAGGGTATCCAAAGGACCAAGCTAGGCTAGGTAGGTGATGTAAAAAAACGTCCTAGGCCAGGCTAGGGCACTTGCCTAGCCCTAGTAGTAATAGGCTAGATCACCTCCGTCAGCAAAGCAGACTACTTTAGTTTGACCTAATCTTATCAAATGTAAAAAAGTTTATGGCTTTGAATCCATGATGTTTACGATAGCTTTCTATGCCACTACACGTGTGTACTGTGCTAGTGCGATCTATGACTGCTTCACACATTTCGATATCAGATGACAGATTAGCTTTAAAAAATTAGTCCGAATACGGCAGTAATTATTTTAATTACATTTTAAGTTGTATTTGTTCAAAAATAAAGTTTATGAATTTATTATTACAGTAGTTTAACTTTCTAAAAAATGTTACGCACTTGTATTCGTACAAGGTCATGTCTCGGTCAAACACCTCGGTGATTGGTATACAGTGTACATGTAGATTTCGCTGGCTGGCTGACAACAGGTACTGGATTCAGCGGTGCGTGACTAGGCTTTGCTACGTATTTTGATCGCCCTGTCGATCATTGTTTATGAAAATTAACAATGTGTTGAGATCATCAATTGTTTAATTACGTTAGATAATAGACCGGATTTCGACTCATTATTATCATAACAATGTTTTCATAAAGGTATTTTGTCTAGGCTAGGCGTAGGCTAGCAATTATTTGTCCAAAAAAACAAATGTACTGGTTGGCTTGTTTAGGCTAGGCTACCAGTTTGTGCCGGTCGGCAGCCTGTTAGTGCAGGTCGGAAATCTTGAGTGCCGGACGGGCCCGACCTGCGCCGTCCGGCATGTGAGAACCCTGTATAAGCCAGCCACCTTGAACACAAATTTGGTCCATGAAGTGGGATTATATCCAGGGAATTCCTTTTTCAATCAAAAGGCAATTTTTGAATACTGTACTGCATGTCTAATACAAAGCAAATCTAAAATGCCATTGAAATATTGTTCGACTAAGATAAAATTTGACTTGCAGATTGTTAATTAATGAAAAACACAACAATTTGGCATGTAAGATCGATTTAGGCAAGTTTAACTGTATTTTATTTTGTATTTTTTTTAAATGTTCAGCTAAGCTACTCAGTCAAACCACACCCTGGGCTTTTGCCCGAGGAAAAGCTTATACGTAAAATTGGGCGTAAAGTAGAGGTGGGCTTATACCACAGATGGCCTTGAGGAGCTATGGTAATATATTGAATAAATGCCACAGTATTTTTTAATGGTTTATAATACTTTATGTATTGTCTCTTGCTAAATACCAAAAATATAAAAATATTTCTTGAAATTAAATTGTCCATTTTGAAGTAACATACAAATTATTAACTTGAACATAGAAATTAGTGTATTTAAAAAATGTCTACCCATCAGTTTACAGCGAAAAATGATAGAAACACTTCCAGTCACTGGAAGTGTTTTATTATTTTTATTATAATTTTTTGGTTTAAAAATCAGGGTACACATTTTTTAAATTCAGTAATTTTTATGCACAAGTTAATAATTTGTATGCTATTGCAATATGAGCAAGTTTATTTCAAAATTATTTTTTATGATTTTTTGACATTAGCAAGGGACAATCCATCTTTAAAACTTATATTTTGAATATCATTAATCTATTGCGTAATTATAAAAACATTTTTGATGCGCCAGTTTGAAAATAAGGTGCAGAAAAGTAGTAATCAAAATAATATCAAATTAGTTTTAGGGCATAATTATAATTATATTGATGTTTTTTGTTTTTTTTTATTAATCTTGCACTTTTTAGTTCCTTTGTGACCTTAAGGTCACAAGGAACTAATGGGGTAATTCAAACGTGAAATGTGTGTGTGTCTGTGAGCAGCGGGTTTGTAAACGAATAGGCTCCTAAACGGTGCCTCACGGTGGGTATAATGTTTTCCTCATAGTAACTGGTGGACATGTAGTTGTGCAAGAATTGTTTGTTTTTTATGTTAGATGAGAAATGTAGGACGTACGCGATAAAACATACTGTATACCCCCTACCACCATTTTTGAGTCGTTTTTAGGAGAAAATTTCGATATGTGCATGCGTCGCAAAAACTTTGCCGACATTTTGTTTTTCATCGCGAGAGGGTAAGCAAGCTCCATAATGCATATCTTGTTGGTGTAGTTGACCAACTGTTTACGGGATCGTGGGTAGGGTTAGGCCTCTGTCGTGTTAATGTTTAGCAGGTGCACGTGTTGTTAAAAAGGAAAAAAGTGATCTAACCAAACATGGTTTTTACATAATGGTATTGGATCGAACATGTTTAATATTTTGCGGAAATTTTGTTTTCTATCGCGAGAGTATACACTTTACACTAGAGAAGTTGTCTGTGTTGTTTATGCAAACGTCTAGGTAGGCCCTAGCGTGAACTTAGGTAGTTGTGGTAAATCGACTACTGCTTGTCGTCTAGTAGGTGTAACATGTGTTTTAGTAAAAATTAACGTGATCTGAACAACATTTTACATTATGGTATTGAATCGAATGTGCTTGCCTACCTAAAGTCTTTTACACACGATGAACACGGTAATTGACGTTGCTGTTGGTGTGCAATACGTACAAAACACGACAACGACGACAGCAGCATTCAGTCAGTCTTGTTAAAATAAATAATATATTGGTCTACCACAAGACTACCATACAGATCAATAAACAATAATCCGCGACAAAAT